ATATACTGTTGGTGGAGTGCAAAATTGGAGGGCAATTTGGCAATCTCAATTTAAATTGTTTGCTTCCACCTCTAGAAATTTATCCAACATATGTATTCACATGTGTACAAAGAAGTATGTAATATATAATTCACTAAAGCAATTATTTATAACAGCAAAAGCAACCAAAATGTCTACCAATAAAGGATTGGCTAAATAAATTATGATACATCCATAGAGTAGCTTATAATATATTCTTTTAAAAATGAGATCTCTTTAATGTCCTGATACAGAATTCACTCTAAGATATATTGTGAAGAGAGAAAAACAAGGTACGGAACTGCATTTAGATCTGGGGTCAGCAAACAATCCAACTTGCTGCCTGTTTGGTAAATAAAGTTTTACTGAAACACAGCTTTTCCCATTTATTCACATATTGTCTAGGGCTGCTTTTGTGCTACAATAGTAGAGTTGAGTCATTGCTACAGAGACCATATGGGCTGAAACGCAGAAAATATTTACTATCCGCCCTTTAGAAAAAATCTTGCTGAGCCCTGTGTATTACTATCTGTGTTATACAACTTTACTAAATAAAAAAGAATACAGTAATCTCCTTATTTGCGGTTTCACTTTTCACGATTTCAGTTACCCTTGGCCAACTGTGCTCAGCCCTGGTTTGGAAGCAGATGATCCTCTTCCCGATCAGTTGTGCGAAGGCCAAGAGAAGGCTAATGCTACGTCATAATATTTATGTCATTCCCCTCACTTCATCTCATCACCTAGGCATTTTATCATCTCATATCATTACGAGAAGGCTGAATATAGTACAGTAAGATTATAATTATTCTATTTATCTGTTTTATTATTATTGTTGTTAATCTCTTACTGTGCCCAATTTACAAATTAAGCTTTATCGTAAGTATACATATACTTAAGAAAAAAACAGTATGTATAGGGTTTAGTACTAAGTGTGGTTTCAGGCCCCCACTGCGGGTCTTGGAACGTATCCCCTGGAAATAAGGGAATTCTACTGTATAAAATAATGGGAAATATTCCCACCTCCAACATTTTACAGTTGTAAACCTGAAGATATTCTCAGTGTCATGTTTGTTGAAATTCCCTGTTTTTAAGGAGGTTGCAATAAAAATCATCAAGGATACATTTTTAAGTGGTTTTTAGTATGATCAATCCATAGAAAGAAATTCCATTTTTTTTTTTTTTAAGATTTTATTTATTTATTTGAGAGAGAGAGATCACAAGCAGGGAGGAAGGGTAGAGGCAGAAGCAGACTCCCCCCCTGAGCAGGGAGCCCGACACAGGACTTGATCCCAGGACCCTGGGATCATGACCTGAGCTGAAGACAGACACTTAACTGACCAAGCCACCCAGGTGCCCCAGAAATTCCATTTCTTTATGATGGGATCTATACTGTGCCAAGAAGAGCAATTAAAAAGTGGAAAAATTCAATCACTTCATCATTTTGTGTACAGAGTAACTGGTTTGAAAGCTTTTTCTTTCCTTCCTGAACTCACTCTAACAACTGCCTTGCCTGGAGACAAGTTGGCAGAGTAGTGTGAGTTGCCGGCTCTCTGCATGACTAACATCAACGGTTCTGTGGCCCAAGGATAAGTACTTTCCTTTTGCCATCCCAGTTCTGGCCAGCTCCCCTCCATAGCGGCTGCTGGTTGTTCTGACACACGGATGCATACACAGAATAGAGCCATGGTTGTCTCCTTGACATCCCTCAGACTTCCTCTGACTCTCATTTCTTTGTAGTTCCTGGTTCCTTGCTTGCTCTGATCCTGGGTTATCTACCTATAACAACCTGGATTATCTGCCAATGGCAATTTGTCCTCAGTTAGCCTGATCACCACCCCTCATTGGTACCCTTCCTCTCAGTTTGCCGCTTTGCCTGGTTCAAACCAGGCCAAACCAAACCTAAAACTCTGTCAACACCCATAATCACAACACTGCCCTTGTGCACCTGAGGGCATGTCGGCCGATAATTACGGTACTGAATCACCTTACCCCATCCCAAGCTATGTTCCTCTGTGTCCCCCAGACACACAGTGCTCTGCCAGGGGTCTGTTTCAAGCTGCTCCTATGCTGGAACATACCCCGTGCTCTCTGGCCAGAGAGCATCTCTCATCCTCGCTCAGTTGTCTCTTGACTCCCCTGGAGAGATTTACACTCTTGTTTTCAGTCCTCCACATTTTATTCTTTATTACAGTGTTGAGATTGTACCGAAATTATTTGTTTTTTGTGCTTGTTTGCTCCTGGATGGCAAATTGTGCAGCAGACATTTTGTATACCATGTCCCTTTAACAATATCGGGCACAGAGTACGTCTGTCACAAAAGGCTGATGCGTGAAGGTGCTGTTCTTGAAAACTCCTTGCAACCCTAAGAGCCTCGGGTTCTGCAACTATTGACAAAATTACAGCAGCAAATTTATTCAATAGCAAATATGCATGAAGTACCCAATATGTGCCGGACTATGACATGGTGCTAGGCAGGTGTCAGAGAACAAAGATTCCCTTGGAGTTTACACGGTGATGAGGTGTAGGCCGAGAATAGATGTCGTAAGTTATCCAATTTTGTGGTATGTTAGAAGGTGTTAAGTGCTATGACAAAAGGGAAAAACAGAGCAGGGTCCAAGATCAACAGTGTTGGTGTCACAGTGGAGGACGGTTTTCCAGTTCCTCATGGCTGCTTTCAAGCATGGCGTCCAACCTAACAGTTGAGCCCAACACTTGGGGCACTGTATGAGCCCACTGAATTCTCACACTAGCTATGTGAGATAGGTATTATTTTTCTTATTATCTTCATGAGCAAGGGACAGGCAGGCTAGGTAGGGAGAGATAGGTAGGGCGCTATGGGATCAGGCTCACAGAAATCCCAAAAACTCCCGGGAGGTGTAAGGAAACCAGAGATAAGAAAACACACCAGACCACCATGCCCTAGGTGTCAGAGGTGGGGTCTTGTTAAAACAGTCCCTTGGGACAAACAAAGAATTACCAGACCCTAAAAAGGAAGTAAGCCATTAAAAGTGTTATCACTAGCCCTTACTCAATGGTGCTGTCGGTGGAGATGTTAAATGGATTTCAGTTCCCCGGTCAGCCTTCAATAAAAGACCAACCCTAACAACCCCCACTGGCAACCGAGTCGGTACCACTCTCAGTCCTGAGAGCTTTTTCTATATCCTTGCTTAGTAAAACTTTATCGCTTTACTCACTGTCCTATGTCTGAGAGATTTATTCTTCGACTCTGTGAGACAAGAACCCCTCACCCTCCCACTTCAGTACTGATTAGGAAATGAAGAGGGAAGTTCAAATACTAAGGTCACACAGCTCGTATAGGGCAGAATGCGGTTTGAATCCAGTTGGTCTGATCTAAAAGTTCAGATTACTAATCAGTATTAATTAGTACCCTCGTATCTATAGGAGGTGATACATTTCCTAAATTCTCCACTACACTTTTTCAATTTACAGTAATTTTTTTCTTTTAATGACAGTAGTTTTATGGAAAGATAAGGAATTTCTTTACAGCCAGGGGGCAGCAAATGATTGCTTTTGAACTATGTATTGGGCAGATGAAAAAAATCCAGAGATCTTTTTGAACTGTTTAATTGTAGTTAATAAGCCTCAAGATAAATAAATGGAAGTCTTCCTTGCACATTTCTTTAATCTTTTAGAATAAAATTACTTTGTTAAAAGTAACATTTAAAAATATTTCTTTAAAATGATAAATTTACAGAAAGAACATCATCTTGATCTGAGTCTTGATCTAAATATCAGTATCCCTAATATATTTCCACTTTGGCTTTATAATATTTTAAGTTGCCAGAATATGTATATTCTTTACAAATAAACTGAGTCGCTTAGAAATGGAATTTCTTTTTTGTTCATTAGAAATGGAATTTAAAATTCATGTATATAAAATATTTTTTAAAGATTCAAAAAGGAAGACAGTGGTGTGGAAAGAAGACTAACTTAAATAATAATTTAGGTTTCCTGAGTTGTAAGAAGTATACTGTTGACCCTTGAACAGCGCAGGTGTTAAGCACTGACTCTGTGCAGTCAAAATTCCACACTTTTGAATCCCCCCAAACTTGGGGTGCCTGTGTAGCTCAGTCAGCTAAGCGACTGCCTTCAGCACCCATTAGGTTGGGCTCCCTGCTCAGCGGGAAGTCTGCTTCTCCCTCTCCCTCTGCTCCTACCCCCTGCTCATGCGGAGTCTCTCTCTCTCTCTAATAAATAAAATCTTAAAAAAAAAAAAATCTCCTCAAACTTAACTACTAATAGCCTACTGTTGATCAATAACATAAAGTCAATTAACAGATATTTTGTATATGTATTATATACTGTATTTTTATAGTAAAGTAGGCTAGAGAAAAGAAAATGTTATTAAGAAAATCGTAAGGAAGAGAAAGTTTACAGTATTGTACTGTGTTTATTAAAAAAAAAAAATCCAGGTATAAGTGGACCAGCACAGTTCAAACGTCTTGTTCCCACCTTGTTCAAGGGTCAACTGTAATTCGCTAGAACTGTAGGTGAAGATTTGGGGGGTACTTTTAGAGCTTTTTTAAGGGATCACACACAGAATAGCAGAATGGGGCATTTGGTCCTTAGGGAATGTTAATAAAGAGCAACTCAATTTTTAGATGGTCTAAGGGTAAAACGGAGACTTAGAACTTATTTCCCCAAATCAGATGGAAACCATCGGCGTGGGGGACACAGGATCCCTAACATTCTGATGGACGTTTTGAAGCAGAGGGAATTCATAATTCTTCATTCGGCCGCAGGCAGAGACACCAGTCCAAGTGAGGAATACAAGCAGTGCCCTGGGAAAAGGGCAAGGCTGCCTGCGGGGTGGAAAGTCGGGGGCTGCACGGTCAGGTGAACTTTGCCCCCCAGGCCGGCGGCGGGGGCGGGGAGGAAGGGTTGGGGGGAGGGGGACCGGGCCGCCGCCCGGGGCGGGGATGGGGTGGGAGGGAAGCTCCCTCTCACACTGCCCGCCTCCTCCCGCAGCGGCCGGGCTCCGACGCCTGAGGTCCCAAGCGCCTGCTCCCGGGCCGCCACCCAAGGTGGGTTTCGCACAGTTAGCTCTTTACAGACAGCCCGTGCGCCCCAAGGACAACGTGTGTAACCGCCAGTCCGTAGGAACACTTCGGGGTAACGTCCTGGGGATGACGTCCTTGGCCCATTTTCTGCAGAGTAGGGCAAAGTAGGGCGGGGGTTGGGCCCGCCGTCCGCGCTCACGCTGCGGGTCCTGCGGGTCCCCGCCGCCTCCCGGGGCCTCCCTGCCTCCTCTCGGCCGACGCCACAGCCGCGGGGGCCGCCCCGGTAGCTCTGGTCCCACCGTTTCCTAACCTTGGATGACTTGTCTTCCCCGCCGCGGGGTGAGCGGGTTTCAGTCCCTGGGGGGCACACGGCCCGGCCGGAACGGCGACGAAAGGAGCGGGCGCCCGCGGGGGCTGCGCGGAGGAGGGGGAGGGGGAGGAGGAAGA